AAAATTAAAAAGAGTAGTATAGCAATAATATACTACGGCAGGCTATTTCAGAAATGGTTGTAGCAGATTTTTTAATAAGATTAGGGTGGCTTTGATTTGTGATGCGTAGAAGTTGTTATTATCATTATACTTTCTTTTGTTTATGCTGATTAATTTTTTTTGTGTTATAAAAAGTATATTAATTTTTAAATGTTATATACTTAATAAAAAAAAATAAAAAAAAATTATTATAACTTAATATATAATATTTGCGTACTATTTTTTACAATTTTTATACATATTCTCATAATATAATATGCATTTTTTGTATATATGTTTTAAGTTTAAAATTATATACTGCTTAAAAATAATGGTTAGTTTAAATTGATTGGTTGAGTATTATTCGTTGTAAATGTAAAGTCTGTGATAAAATTTTGTTTTAAATTAATGTTATTATAGAGAAGATATTTATGGGTTCTTTGAGTATATAGTGAATTGGTAGTTTTTCATATAGGTAATAAACTAATTGTTATTTTTCAAGATAGCTGTATTTTATGATCATATCTAAATTAGTCATATTGATATATTTTGTAAGGTGAGGTCTTGTGTCTTATAGATAGTTAAGGTGTAATTTTTTTAAAGTGAAAATTATTAGCAGCTCGTTAAATTTCTATTAATATTGAAGTAGTTTATATTTATTTTAATTAAGCTAATGATCTATCTATTATGTTGAATAATACTCAGACTAAGTTTGTGTTAAATTCCATTTTAAATATATTACTTTTGCGTCTTACTAAAGTCTAACTGATGTGAATAGGTTATTATATCTTATTTTTCGCTATTTATAGTATCAATAATGTTGAATATTAAGAAGTTTTTATTAATTATTAGGAGGATGTTACATATTAGGCAGTGATTGTTTTATGATAACCTACTATATTTATTGTATTAAGGAAGATGTCGATCAGTTTATTGGGATTGTATTTGTAATTTGTTTTAGATTCAAAGTGTGAAAAAATTCTAATTGGTCTTATTGGCGGTGAGATTAATGTAAGACGAGGATAAAAATATGTTTCAAACTGATATTTAAAATACTTTTGAGCTTGTGACTAATAAGAGTTATACTGAGTCACTGATTAGAACAGGTTTTATGCTTTTGAATACTATAGAGTTATTGTAGATGGTAACAAATGTATTGGATCAAACTTAATATATTAAACTTATCAATTATTTGCATTACTTAGACAGTATTTATAATTATGATATAAAATATTATATTTTATATAATTTATATAATTTATAATATTATAGCAATTTCTATTTATATACAAAGTGTTTGGATACAGATCATATGATACAGACAGCATTAATATTACTTTTATCAGTATTAAGAAATTAAAAGTTACCTGTGTGATAATCATATGATGAATAAAGAGTGACGAATATGAAATTTTCATCAAAAAATTCTAAGTTCTTAGAATAAATAGTAAATATTAAAAGTGAAGAGGTGTAATACTAGTAACAAAATATTGGTTATGTGATTTATATTCAAATATCCTATATAAACTTAGAAATTTTCTATTTTATAATTTAATTTAACTAATAATATTTTTATATAATATATAAAAATAATATAATTAATATTTATTTATATTTATATACTGCTTACTCTAAAGTTTAAGAACATACAATTATATAATAAAATTTTAAGCTTAGAAAATTTTATTAAATAAAACATTAGTAATTTATATATAATTGAATAATTCTAAACTTTTGAGTAAATAGTATATAAATATTTTTTGATAAATTATATTAATATTTTATTATTAAATAAAAATTTATAAGTTTACATAGAATGTATATGTTATGTGTCAGATGTTAATTTGAGTCAATTGACAGTTGATATGCATCAGATAACTAATGTTAGTCAAACCTTTTTAAGGCATTATAAGCTCAACTCAAAATAGGTTTGTAATTTAAGCCAATCAGTATCTAATGCAAAATTATAGTTAATGCATAACATATATATTTATATCATATAATATATTTATTACTAGTATCACATCTTTTTGTCTTTAGTTTTTATTATTTATTTTAGAAATTTATAATTTTTTTAGTAAATTTCTTAATTTCTTTATATTAGTAAAAATAATGTTAATATAAACTATATTATGTAACCTATATATAATACATCTGTATATTAATAGAAAATTACTTATTTTAATATTTAGTTAAATTAAATAAATCTGTTAAATTTTAATTTATTTAATTTATTTATATCATCTATATTTTTAAAAGCTTTATTTTAATATATATATATTTAATAAATTTTTAAATATTTTTTACTTAATATTAAAATAATAAAAATATAAATAATTTTTAAATAAATAATAAAATTATTTTTTACTATTAATAAAATAAGCATAAAATCTTTAACTTCTTTTATAATAAAAATTTTTATAAATAATAAAAAGTATAAAACAAATAATATAATAATAAAATAAATAAACTTTTTATAGTATATTATATTATAAATTATAAATAATAAAATTAAACTTATTATGAATAATATATATACATACACAGGACAAAAGTATCTGAATTATAGATGAGAGATAAAACTCCTTAATAACAGTCAAAACTTAGATGAAACCATATTAAAATTATAATAAGAGATATGATAAAACCTATTTAATATGATGAAAACCAAAACTGTTGAAACTATATTAAAAATATAGAAAAGGGTATAATGAAATTATTTTAAGGAGGTTTTAATAGGCATCTATAATCTGAATAATTATAATATTACACAAATTTAACTATATATTACTGATCTTTAAATAACAATAGAATGTTTAATTTTTAACCAAATTTATTATTTTTTTTTCCAGAATTTTATAGTTTCGCTTTTTTAATAAAAAAAAATTTTTTATAAATAATTATTTCAATACATAAAAATACCAAAAATTTGTGAGCTTACACTTTTTAAGCGTGAAGAAATCATAAGTTTATCAAAGTGTAGACATAGTATAAAAAATATTTTAGAAATTTTTAGCAAATCAAAATCTACTGTTCATGATATAATTACGAAATACAATAAAGAAAATTGTATTGATACTGCACTTAAGAGTAGTAGACCTTCAGCTTTATTAGAACAAGATAAACATTAACTAGAAAGAATAGTTTAATAAAATTATAAACAAGTCATGAAAGAAATTACTGAATAATTTAACTAGAGTTTTAATATTTTATTAAGTAGTAAAACTGTTAAGTGAGTACTGCATTATATGGGTTATTATGAGTATATTAGTAGAAAAAATCTTTAGTTTCTAATGTAAATAAAAAAAAATTTACTTTAGTGTTATATTAGAAAAAGTTGACAAAATAAATAGAATTTTATAATTTTTAGTGATGAATTTCGTTTTGAATTTAGGTTTAGCATAAGATTCATAAAGTATATACAAAAGATTATTTAATTTTAACAGTTTAAAAGTCAGAAGGAGTTATGGTTTGGAAGTATTTTTGTAACTTTAAAGTAGGATTATTAGTACTAATTGAGAGAAAATTAAATGCTGAAAAGTATATAGAATTATTTAAATATTATCTTTTACTTTTTTTAATAAACTTAAATCTAATAGCCATACTTTTTAAGATGATAATGTTCTAGTACATGCAATAGGATTCACAAAGGGTTAGAAAAAAGAAAATTTACATCAATCACTTTCTTGATTAGCACAGAGCTCTGATCTCAATCCAATTGAGAATTTGTGAAATGTATTGAAAAGAAAGGTCAAGATGCATAATCTTAAATCAAAAAATAAATCAGAACTTTTAGCTGTTCTTAAAGAAGAATAGTACCAAATTGAACCTGAAAAATTATTAAAGTTAGTTAAAAGTATGCCTTGTAGAATTAAGGTTGTAATAAAAAGTAAGGGATATCCTATGTTATATTAGTATTATTTTTAGATTAATATAAGCTAATAAATGATTAAAATTTATATGTTTTTACTAAAGATTATAATGTTGTAAAATAGCTAAAAATTTCTTTAAATTTTTTCAGTTTTTTTTATATTATTTAATAACTATCTAACAAAATTTTATAAAAAAATTTATAATTATATATTTCAAATAATAGCAAAAAAGGTTACTTAGTAATAAAAATTACATTAAGATCAAACATTTTAATATTATATTATAACTAAAGTTTTTATTAGAAAATGTATTATTTTAAAATAAATTTTAAATTATTATAGTTTGACCAATTTTTACTTAAATTCTTTGAAATTTTTATGTATTACGTGATATGTTATGATGAACAACTTTACTTATGAAACCAAAGTTACATTTATTAATAAAAAAAGTTTACTTATATCCAACTTTACCTAATTAATTTAGTAATTTACATAATATTTGAATACTTTTGTCCTGTATGTGTATACTTACATTTAATTAGATTTAAGATAACCTATAATTGTTGATTCTAATATTACATAAAGGTATAAATTAGATTGTTTTGTAAAACTATCAATTAAACTTCATTAAATATTTAGCTTTATTACAAATGTTTTCTAAATAAAATAAATTAAAAAAACCAACAATCAAAATAATTTATTTGGATTTAACAAGTTAAACTTATAAAAAAATGAAAGTTATAGATAATCACTTCTGATTTTATTCTTAATTTATTGTATTTTGTATAATATATATGAATTATCTAATAAAGTAAATCTTTTGAAATCATTAAAATAATAAAAATAATAGATTAGTCAAATACTTACTAAATAGCTTTATAAAAATTATTTTATTTGATTAAAATGCTGAAATTATAGAAATAAAAAATTTAAATCAAAGTTTGAAAAATATAATGAAAATGGAGTATAAAAATTATAAAAATTAAGTCGGAGCAAAAAAATATAATGAGCGGAGTTCGAAAAAAAGTTTTGGAATTTAACAAAACTGATCAACATGTATAAATATTAAACAAAGAATGCTATTTAAGTTGAATCAAAAATTAAATATTAATGGCACAAAAATTTTTTGATTCCCTTGAATACAAATCAAACTTAGAAAATATCAATACAGAAAAGGCCGCTTTCCTAAAGGAATTTGAATTACAATATGGTTACGGCGGTAAAATAGATCAGATACGGGAAGAAGAATATCCTCAACTTAACGGTAATTCTTCATAACTGCTATTCAATTCGTAATTACATGTAATTCTTACTTTCAAATATCTCAGGGGCCATTTTTCTTGACCATTCCGCGACAACCACTTATGCCAAAAGCTCTCTTACATCTTTTACTACTGACCTTACTAATAACCTTTATGGTAATCCTCACGCGAACTCACCTAGTTCGCAACGGTGTAATCAAAGGTTAGATCAAATCCGTGATCGAGTTCTTAGACATTTTAATACCAATCCGGATTACTATCAAGTTATATTCACCCAAAATGCCACGGCTGCTATCAAATTAGTTGGTGAAATATTCCCATGGACATCGGGCCAAAGTTCTTATAAGTACTTGAGGGAATCCCATAACAGTATCATTGGGTTAAGAAGATTTGCCGAAGAAATCAATGCTCAAAGTATTCAAGCGATAACGGAGGATGATTTCTTTTCCGTATTTGATAGTGATTCAGTAAGGCAAACCAAATACTTACCACGTGATAACCACAATAATATAACGTATAACCTCTTCGCTTATCCAGCACAGTGTAATTTCTCTGGAATAAGGTTTCCTTTAACATGGACTTGTGAAATAAAAAAATTTAATAATAAAAATAACGATTCAAAGACTTTAGTATTATTGGATGCTGCTGCTTATATTTCATCGTCTTTGCTATCGTTATCCGAAGTAGATACATCTCCAGATTTTATTACTATTAGTTTCTATAAGATGTTTGGTTATCCTACTGGATTAGGAGCATTGATAGTAAAGAGTGAATTAGAACCAATATTGAGAAAGAGGTACTTTGGTGGTGGCACTCGTAAGTATTTTCCTTTATCTTCTCATCCATATATTATATAACATATATTCATTACAGTATGAACATATTTTCTGTTTTATAGTGGATTCAATTGCTTATGATAGACCGTGGCAGAAATTTCGTAAATCATTACATGAACGTTATGAAGATGGCACAATTAATTTCCTTGATATTATTGCTTTAGATCACGCGTTTGACGCATCGGAACGTCTATTTAATAACTTCAATTTTATCAAAAGTCATGTCACCTCTTTAATGATTTATCTCAGTCGAAATATGAAATCTCTACAACATTACAATGGGCGATCAGTTTGTGTTGTCTACTCAAATAATGATTTCTCAGATAATACATTTCAAGGTCCTGTTTTCAGTTTTAATGTAAAACGTGCAGATGGATCTTGGGTTGGATACCTTGAATTAGAAAGGTTAGCAAGTGTTAATGGTATTCACATTAGATCAGGCATACTCTGTAATCCCGGTAGTGTTGCGAGGTGGATAAAATTATATCCTGAAAACATCATAGATAGCTTTGCTAGTGGTAAAACATGTCACGATGAGCAAGATATGTGGGATGGAAAACCAGCGGGAGCAGTTCGGATTTCTGTTGGTGCCATGTCGACAATTGATGATATTCTTGTATGGATGGATTTCTTTAAAAAATATTTTGTAGAGCCATCACCACCTTATTCTATGACTCAAAATATAAAAAACATTGATGAAAACTCTACTTCATCTGACCAAAATTTAGTTTTGGAGAAAGTAACTTTATGTAAGTAAATATTTATTTCTTAAATTATTTATATTTATCTTCCTGAATCTAACAATTCAATTTCATAAGTTCCAATTAAATCATGTCATGGATTTAACATTTCACCATTTACTTCATGGCCTATAACTAGCCAAGGGTTGTTGTATGATCGTGAATGGATGTTGATAGATGCAGGGAAAGGAAAAGCATTAAGTCAGAAAATGTAAGTTTTGACAAGTATTTCTTTATGATTTGGAAGGTTACTTTTATCTTAACACCTTTCCTTTGAATATCTCTTATGTATTAGTCTTCCTCGAATGACTTTAATTCGTCCAGTTATTTTAAGAGATAAAGGGTTACTTTTAGTATCAGCTCCTGGTATGTGCGATTTATAAATATTTTAAGTTATTAAAATCATCATCTTTAATATTTATTGATACGATTAGACCGGGACCCATTGTACATTAATTTGGATCCCGAAGGAGTCGAACTTTCCACGTATTCTTCACAAGTTTGTGGTGACAAGTAATGTAAAATTGACATGATTTGTTATTTATTTAATATCTACTATTTCATTTAAAATTCACTTTCCTTCCTAAAATCGCAGAATTCAGGCATATATATATACATCACCAGAAATTAGTGAATGGTTTTCGTCTTTTCTTGGCTTATCCTGTCGACTAGCGCGACATGCATCTATGACAAATGACTGCTTAATGCAGCGTCGTTTTATCAAACCACACCTTGACGCGTCTGAAAATGCGCCTCTGTCTTTATCAAATGAATCACCGTTTTTAATGATTTCGCATTCAAGCGTTGATCATGTTAATAAAAAAATCAAAGAAGAAGGAAATCGTGAAGTGAAACCGGATTGCTTTCGTGGAAATTTTTTAATTAATGGAGCAACGGAATTCGATGAAGATCAATGGAAAATGGTTCGATTCGGTGGACAAGTTTTTAAAGTAACGTCAGATTTAATTAACTAATCATTGATGAATTGTGTATAAATGCTCAATTTTATATTATATTTATAATTTTCTTAGATCATTGGTCCGTGCAGGAGATGTCGTATGGTTTGTATAAATCACGAGAATGCTGAAGTAACTAAAGAGCCATATTCTACGTTAGCTCGCTGTCGACGATTCAAGGTACGAAATATTTTTGACAATTTTGTTATAAAAAAAAAATCAAAATATATATTTATTTTTCTTTATATTTTAATAGGGCAAGATATATTTTGGACATCACATGGTTCATGTTCCTGATCTTTCAAAGATACCTTATGTAATTGAGAGCGGTTCATCAGTTCAAATTGAATATATCAATTAACAAGAAATCGATAAGTTCGTGTACGAATATCAAAATAATTAATTTAATAAACATAATTGCTATATAAAAAAATTTCTCGATAACAAAATGATATCTCATGAATGCTTCTCTGCTTTTACCTTTATCAAGGTATTACATATCAATATAAAAAAAAAAAATAAATATAACAAAAATGATAACTATATGGGTCATGAACTAGTAAAATGTCACGTCAATTTTTTTTTTTTTGATTTATATAAGCCAACTATATAATAATCTAATTTTTTAAGCTTTTCGAATATTTTTTATTTATCGCGAGGATTTAAATTGATTTAAATTTCAAAACTATTTATTAATGCACAGAATCTTCCCAATTTTTTTAAAGATAAAAAATTTTTAGAAAATAAAACTGTTTCGCTCTTAATTACTTTAATATTCCATAACTCACTTTAGATAGTTTATTGTATTATGCTTCAAAGTACTATGCATCATAACTTTTGATGTACTACGCATTGTAAATCTTCAAAGTACTACACTACACTTTGTAAACCTTCAATATACTACACGTTGTAATATTACGCATACATAAACCTTACCTTTGAAGTATTACGAATATTTTGATTAGTCCGGATCCCTAGTATATATAATTTAGAAATGATATTTAAATTAAACCGAAACCGAAAAATTATAAATTAGCAAAATAAACTAAATTTAAAAAAAAAATTAAAAAAAAAAGATCGGTCGCAGAATGCCCGCCGTTCTCAGACGCGACCTATTAAAAGGGGAGCCCGCCGTTCTCAGACTATCCGCGACCTTATCAACATAGGTTTTGATAAGCTTATAAAGGGTCAATTTTGGTGATTTTCAAAATTATGGGATTCAAAAATTCATATAAATAGGTCATTTTAAACTGATCGTCCAATTTTAAATCAGGTGACTACCGGGAAAATAGAATAATTACGTAGTATAAACGGAATGACACAATCATTTTTTTCGCAATACAGTATATTTATTTTATAATATTTATTATTTTATCAATCACATATCTAAAATTTGTAATTTTAGATTTCAAATGTAATGTCATTATAATGTTTGCACAACGGATGTTATGATGAAGGATCAACAGAAATTCAACAAAGAAATACCATAAACGATACCAAAAACAATAGAGAATAATTTTTTTCAATTATTGCTTTTAACCTTTGCAGTCCAAGAAATATCAAATGTATTATAAATTTCAAAAGTCTTTCTAATCGGTCTATTATCAAACTATAAAATTTTAAACAATTGTTGAATCTCTGAAAAATTGTTATCAGGTATTGTAATAGGAATACAATCAATGTCTATATTATATTTAAGCATTTTTTTACAATACTATCATGATGATAATGATTATTTGTTTTCTTCCAAAAGGATTTGTAAGCCTAGTATGGTTGTATTGTAGTTACTTCAGTATTGTAGAGATCATTATTAAGTCAGTATCTTGATGTGATTGAAGTTGAGTTGAGATATGATGACGTTTTTGAAGCTTTTGAAAATAATATAGGTAAAGCAATAGTTAATAAAGGTTTCTTTCTTAGGATCATTAGTAGAGGTATAAATAATAAGATTAAGTATTATTCTAATTGATTATACTTTTAAGGGAAGATATAGTGTATATAAGATTAGTAAATATAATTGATTATATCTTTTTCAAGAAAACATTTTTTTAGGAAAGTGAGATGTAAGTAAGAAATGGGTTGCTTTATTAATAAAAAATAGAAAAAATATGTATGTTCTATATTTAAAATATTTATTATATAAAAAAAATTTCTGTTTGTTTTGTATAGATTCTAAAATAGTATTTAATAGATAAAGAAAAAAGCTATATTAAACTTAAATCATACAAGATATCCATTATCAGTTCTAATTTTATATAAAATAAGATTATAAAGCAAATAACTTTTAACAAATGAGAATCTAATATGATAATACTATATAATTGTAAGTCAAAATCAAAACATAAAATTTTGATCATTATTATGAATTTTTTTGCAATTACATTTTATAAGAAGTGATCTTATCAATTATTCGTAATCAAATGATTTGTGTAATAAATAACTTTCTTTCTAGATAAATAATCATCAGTTACACAATAGCATTATTACCTAAAATGAAATAAAAAACAATATATAAAAAATTTTCAGTCATGTAATTATTGCATTTTTGTTTGTTTATATAATCATAAATTAATGAAATCTCCAATTTTAAAAAGTATTAAGATTGCTTCAGACTTAATAATAGTTTTTATTTTTAGTAATATTATAAAATATAGTAATAAATTTCTAATATAAAAAAGTATGATTTTATTATTAAACTCTAAATAGTTTAGATCAATTCAAAAAATTTTAATTTAAATTAAATTTGTATTAGTTTCAAATTGTATAAAATAATTCAAGATTTCAGTTTAGTTCAGATTTTTTCAGATTTTAATTTTAATTTTAAAAAATCTGAACTAAATCAAAAATTTCAGATTAATCTAAAATTTCAGTTTAAATTATTCTAATTAAATGATAATAGATTATTTGATAAAAATAATCAAAATATTATTCTTATTGAATGATAAAGGTATTATTTAATAGAAATAAATCAAAATATTATTTTTATTAAACAATAAAATAATATTTAATAAAAATGTTTAAAATTATTATTTTTATTAAATAATAAACGTATTGTTTAATGTAATAATTAAAATTATTATTCTCATTAATAATACAATTAAAATAATCAAAAGTTATTTCTATCAAATAATATATAATCAAACTGAATTTTCAGATTAATCTGAAATTTTCAGTTCAAATTAGAATTTTTGTGATCTAAAGTTCAGTTAGATTCAGATTAGCATTTTGAATTCATAATCTAAATAAATTAAATTAAATTATTCAAAGCTTTATTTATAAAAAAAAATTGAATTGCTTGATAAAAAAAGAATTTAAAAAATATTTTAGGAGTAACTGATAAATTTTATTTCATAATAAGAGTAACTATTAATAAATCTTAATTATAATTGCTGATAAATATTATAATCTTTCTATTACTTACAAATTATATATTAATGTAATATAGAATTTTTTATAATTAATATAAAAAGATAATTTTCTATCTTATTGTTTTAATTTACTTAAGTAGACTTATATTTACATAAGTATACTAAATTATTATTAATATTAATTTATCCTAGATAATTTCTTATCTAATATAATAATCATTTTTGAAATATTTTTTTTTATGATATTTACAGAAATATTCATTTTTTTCATACAAAAAGATAGAATGTTTTTTATAAAAAAATTTGTATAATGATTTAATAAAAAATTAAATTTTACTTTTATATATTAATTATGATTTTTAAGTTTAAATTTAAGGATAAATATTTTATGAAAGATTAATTTTAAATATATAAATATATCTTTTAATATGTAAAACCTAAAAAATACATTATATAATTTTGCTTATTTTTCGTATTTTTCTTAATTTCAACTTATCAAATATAATTTATAAATAAAGTTAATATTTTTAAATAAATTTTCATATAAAATAGTAAAAAAAAAGAACTATTTAAAATTATTAGACAATTATTATATAAAGTTCAATAAAAAATAATGATATTAAACTAAATTTATATTTTTCTATAAAATATAATTATTATTTTAAAGTTTTTAATAAAATTATTCTTTTAAAAAAGCAAACTCATCTTAATAAGTGTTTAAATATATCAAATAAAGCCAATATTTTTTAAAATATATTTTTAATAATTCTTTAGTTTTTTTATATAAAATGGTAAAAAAGAAAACTATTTAGAATTATTAGATAATTATTACATAAAATTCAATAGAAAATAATAAAATTAAACTAAGTTTATATTCTTTTGCAAAATATAATTATCATTCTAAAGTTTTTAATAGAGTTAGTTTTTAAAAATGCAAATCTATCTTAATAAGTATTTAAATATACTAAGTGATTTTAAATTATAAAAACTATTCTAATATAAAATTATATATCCTATAATATCACAAAACATCTTTTAATTAATACAAATACATTTCTTTATAAAATAAATAGATCTAAAAACAAATTAAATTAGATAATTTTATTGATAATATTAAGGAAGAAGAATAAGAATTTCTTTAATTTTTACTAATTAAAATATTATATTTAGTTGAAGTACTATTTACCTTTATTAATAATCCATTTGTTATTCAATTTTTTTAAATATTTTAAATTATCTTTTAAGCTTTCAAATAAAAAGAACATTACTAATAAATTATTAAATGAAGTTTATGAAAATGTAAAAATATAAACAGATAAATAAATTTTAAAAGTAATATTCTTTTGATGACTGATCTAACATTAATAGAACATTAGTATAAAATTTTATTATTTATATGTCAAAACCTTTTTTTTTATACTTTTTAGAAGAAGAATCTTATATAGCAGAATGGATTGTAAATCAAATAATTTAACAAATAGATATTATTAATATTCAAAAGATTTTAGTAGTTATTACAAATACAACTAATGTAATGAAAATAACATGAAAAATATTAAAAAAAAATTTAATATTATTTGTCTTAAATATAACTCTCATATTATTAATCTTTTGATATTTTATTATTTGATAAATTAAAGCTATAATTAATAATTCAATCAATAATAATCTATTTTAGATTTCATCTACAAGTAGCAGCAAAATTGAAACATTAATTTTACTAGTACTTACATGATAGAATATACATCTTAACTATTTTTAATCACTTCAAAAATCAAGAATTGCTCTTGAATAATTATTGATAAATCCTTTGATTTGTCATAAAATAGATCAAATAATATATTATTAAATGAATTTTAGCAAATGATAGATTTGATAATTAAAAATTTTAGAACTAATAGTTGTAGTATTAAATTCTTTTGAATCAGATACATCTACTCTTTTAACAATTTATTCATATTATAGCAAATTAATAGAACAATTTGATAAATTTTTATGACATTTATCTAAAATATTTAGCAACTTATTCAAAAAAGATGGGTGTATGCATTATCATCCTATTATGATGACTGCTTATATATTATATATTAGATCCATGTTTTTTAAAAAGAAAGTAAAAATACAGATTTAGAGGCAACTGGATATTCTGAATTTATAGCATTTACTAACAAATTGTTTGATTAGGAGAAATCTGTAACATTGGTTATTGAGCTAGTAAAATTTCGCCAAAAAAGCTTCACCAGGATTTATTCATAGCAAAATCAGAAATCGATTACGTAATAATTGCGTTAAAAAGGCAAGAAATTCGTGAGGATATTAACGAATTTAGTATTAATTATATTACGGTTAATTAACGGTTAAATAACCGGTATAACCAAATCTTAATTAACCGTTAATTCTGAGTGTTAACCTTTTTTAGGGCCGCCACCCGTATTACATCAAATCTTTTTTATAAAAACTCGTTTTTATCGTTTAAATAATTTTTGATCAAATTTATTTAAATGTCTGCAACTGTCCAACCTACAAATAATGAACGTACGAATAATAGTAACATTGACGCGAATCGAGAATCAACTAATAATAATACAAGACAACAGCAACAGCAGCAACAAGAGCAACCATCATGGCAATCAATAATACAATTAATAATTCGATTTATGTTAATTTATTATGTCATCGGCTATTTTTTTAAAGGCAAGTTTTCATTTGAATTATGATTAAATATAGTTTTTTATATGAATAAAAAATAATTGATTTTTTTTATAGGAACAAATAATCCAGCTCCTATTAATACCTCAAAAAGTAATGACAGTCCGAATATTCCAGTTACATCGAATTCTTTTATCCCGTCACATTTATATCCATCATGGGAAACGGGTTCAAGTATGGTAAGTTAAAACAACACTAATAATTCACTGTACCTATATTCAAATTTTTTTTTTTTTATTGTTAGGATTTACGTGTATACGTTTCAGAAGAGGAGAATTTTACTGATTTCAGAAACCTTGATGTTCTCATATGGCACGCTCCATCTATTCAGCTTGGAAATTGGGATGATGAAAGAGACATATCAACGGACATTCAAACTTCTGTGGTAACATAACGTATATTTTGATCACATGATTTGTATCATAAACAGTTTATTTGAAATCATCATATTTTCCTTAATAGAATGTGCGAAATAATGGCACCTTGTATGCACATATCTATCTTACTCTTAATAAGGCTTCTCCAGATCCAACAGATCCAGCATTTCAAGAAAACATGAGAGTATATCAAAGGAAATGTATTTATCAAATTTTTTTTATTAATAATTTAATAATTGACTTTAAAATACAAATATTTTAACAATTTAATTGAATTTATAAGTGCTGACAAGGTATTACCCAAAGCGCAAAGTGATCAAGACAAAGAAACTTATTGGCGGCAGTGATGATGACGAGATTGAAGAAGTTGAAGAACATGAAGTAAGATGATTTCTATAAAAATTTTAGCATTAAATTTTACTTAATAAAACTGCTCTATTTTTAGACAAAATCAAGCGAAATCCCGATAGTATCGTATTGGCATCAGAATCTTACGCTTAATCTCATTTCAGATAATACTGTCCTTCCATATAGTCAATTACCGCCCTTAGTCGCATCACGTAAGTTATTTTTAATTGAATATAAACAAATTTTATTGTATTTGCTTATATGTTCCCTTAATAGATATTCAATTGGATAAAACTACCTTACTGGATCCTTCCAGCAAAGCTGGATATTATCTTCCAGTTTTATTTGTTAATGATTTCTGGATTCTCAAAGAACACTTGATGCCTATTAATGAAACAGTCGAGTAAGGGTTTTTTAAAAACATAATTTATTGCTTTTTAATAAATATTAATAAATATTAATAATGTGCTTATGATATTTAGGGAAGTGCTTTTAAATATTAAATATTATCCTATCTCAATGTGGAAATTCCAAATATATGTTCAAATGGGAGAATCATTCAGAGCACAAGCAGAAATGATGGGCGGAGATGCACATAGTGAATTTGATGAAATTAAAAGAATGTTAAGAGAGACAAATCCAATTCTATTAGGTGTAACATTTACGGTATCATTATTGCATAGTATTTTTGAATTCTTGGCCTTTAAAAATGGTTTGTATTTGATTTTTCAAAAAAAAAAAAAAATAAAAAAAAATAAAATAATTATTCAATAATTTGAAAATATTGCTTATTAGATATTGCTCATTGGAGAAATAAGGAAGAACTGACAGGAGTCTCAGTCCGATCTATTCTATTGAATATATTCTTTCAGTTAATAATATTTTTATATTTAATGGATAATAATAGCGATACGAGTTGGATGATTTTGATTGGTCAAGGAATTTCAGTTGCTATTGAAGTATGGAAAATTAAAAAGGCTGTTGATGTTAAAGTTAGTACAATATTATATGATCTTTTACAATATTTTACTAGAAAAATTAATTAATTTTCTTTAATTTATAGATTAATCCATCTCAAGGATTTTTCAAGTATTCAATAAAATTCGTAGATAAACATAAACTTTCAGAGAGTGAAGAAAAGACGAAGGAATATGACAGACTTGCTTTTAAATATTTGTCTTGGATAGCTTATCCATTACTTACTTCTTACGCCATTTATAGTCTTGTTTACAATTCACATAAAAGTTGGTATTCCTTTGTTTTGTCAACTCTTGTCGGGTTCGTTTATGCATTTGGCTTTATAATGATGACTCCACAGTTATTTATCAATTATAAACTTAAGAGTGTAAGAAAATATTTTTTAATTTCTTATTTCATAATTTATTAAATTATTAAATCTGTTTATTTTAACATTTTCAGGTTGCGCATATGCCTTGGAAAACACTTATGTACAAAACGCTTGGTACATTTGTGGATGATTTGTTTGCTTTTTGCATTAAAATGCCTACTTTACATCGTTTGGCATGTTTGAGAGATGATGTTGTTTTCTTCGTGTATCTGTATCAAAAATGGAAATATCCAGGTAAGTTTATGTTCGCAAGCTCAAGTTTGAACTTCATTTACGATATTCTAATGATGTTTTCTTTTTTTTTCTTTTGAAGTTGACCATAAGAGAGCGAACGAATATGGGCAGGTTGCGTCTGAAAATCAAATAGATCAAATAGATCAAGGATCCCAACCGGAAAGCAAAAAAGATAAATAAATGTAATTTAATTCATAATCGCATGTCAGGTGAACCAATGATGTATTCAATTTAAACATATTTGCATGAATATGTATTAATTATTTAATAATGTTAAATCATTATTATATTAATTTGTAAACCTTTCAATTTCTATATATTTATAAATTTTATAGAAATTGTTCAAATATCTTCTAACTTAACTACATAAACAAATATACATCATCATCTTCCAAATGATGCATGGTATTTGAAGTTTGATTGTTTTCTTTAGATCTCTTGCCAAATTGATCAATGTTTCGCTCTCCATTATACCATTCAATGGATTCTCCTCCCTTTTTTAAAATTTCATACGAGTGAAGTTCATCGAATTCATCTGTTTATTTACAATCCAGCGACAATAAAAAAAAGTTATGAAATCATACATTTATTTTTAAACAAGATACAATTTTATTGTTACCTTTGCATTTCAAGTCAATTTCTACGTGAAGAAGAGATTATATTAGGATTGATTCAAAACTAAATTATGAAATACATATCGAATTTACCTTCGTCCTTTTCAATTGCGCCTTTAATGACTATCCAACCGTCATCATCGTTCGGCCAATCGATATTTTTAATTGAATGAATTGAATTAAAAATTACAGAATGTTGAGATGGTTGTGAAGGAATTGATGTATCAAGTTGTGGATGATCTTGCGGAGGGGGTGATGATGATGAATGTTCAAAATGGAAATATGAAGGTGACTCGATGATTAATTTCTTTTTTGGACGAATTAAAAGGTTTTTTTGTTTTGGTAAAATATTTGCTTCTGAAGCTATTTGCTGTAATGCATTTAATGCATTTTTGCGATATGCGCTGAAATCGGGTTCTTTATTATATTCAAGATGTGACATGCTTTTTGTCAAAGCAAAAAAAAGATTGATTTGTTAAATGAAAGAATTAACAAAAAAAATTAATTCGTAGAAGAGAAAAAAAAATATATTAATGCAATTTATATGATTACATCGGTCCATCATTGTTTCATCAATGATTTTATTATGTGAAGCTTTTTCATAATTAATCATACTTAAATATTTGGCGGTTTCTTTTTTATTTGTTTATTTTTTTTTTTTTGGATAACTTATTATTTATTTTATTTTAAAAAAATAGATAGATAATCCGCATTCTTTCTCGTAAAGTGCACAAATATATTCGAGAATTTGTTTTTTCTTAATTTTCAAAAATGACGTTAGGAAAGCTTGAAATGATATAACGATTATATTACGAAAGGTTGTCATAAATGAACAGATCATAAAATAATTTTTGAAGTAATTAAATTTATTAAGACAGATTCTATTTATCAAAGACAAACAAATTTGGAAGGTTCAGTCGATTTGAATAAATAGAGGAATTTAGTAACCAGAAACGAAAATTTGTATCTTAATAAGGGAAAAGTTCTTCTCCCAAATCTTTAAGAAGATCAAGAGCTCTTTGGTCCTCTTGCAAACCCGCTAATCTTAAGAAATGTCTGCCCTTTTCTTCATCTATTGTAATACCATAAGTTCCGTTTACATAAACGTTTCCCAATTCAAAGAACGCATTAGTATTATTATTATGTGCTGCTAGAGTTAAATAACGGATAAATTCTTCGGAATTTTTCAAGGTATTATTTTCTATTAACGATGTTGCATAGTAATATTGTGCTTCAGGTACTCCTACATCTGCCGCTTGCTTATATAATTCAACAGCTTCATGATGATTTTTTTGTACATGAATCCCATTTTGTAAATAATATGCTTTCCAATATTTAGCTCGCGAATTTCCAATAGATGCATGTTTATTAAAGCAATCCCAAGCCGTTTCGTGATCTTCTTTTTCATGAGATGTTAAACCTTCGATAAATCTAGGTAATGGTTTGACAACCGGAATTAAGTTAGGGTTTGTATTGTTCATTTTTGTTTGGTATTCATTATTATATGCGTTTTCTTGTTCTGGTAAAATTAGGACTACGGTATCATCATCGTATTTACGAGGTTGTATTTTTTCATCATCATTTTCTCTTTGAGTGAATTGACTATAAAGTTCATCCAACTGCAAAAAGATTTTATAAAGTCCTGGACGGAGTGCTGCATCATCTTGCCAAGCTTATAATGTAATTTAGAAAACAATAACTTGTTAGCATTTTATTCAAGAAAAGAAAGAAACAAAGAAAAAAAACCAATGTCCAATTAATAAAAAAAGAATTTTTCACCAGCTCTGATAATTTTTGAGAAATCTTGTTGTACGCGTGTCTGATTAGGACCAAAATTTAGATTTTCTCTTTTTCCTGCCTGTACATGATTTGATATCTTTCTAGAGTTCCAACCTCGATATGGAATTCTATCAAAACAAAGTTCCCAAAGGAGCATTCCAAAGCTAAAAAAAAAAGTGTTAAAGAAAAGAACCTTAATTAATAGGATACGTTAATAATGTCTATTAATAATACTTACGCTTACCTGAATATATCACATTTTGCCGTGTAATAGGAAATTCTTAATTCGTTTTTAAGATGTTCAGGAGCTGCCCAATGTTCGGCAGGATCATCATGTCGAATATAAACTTTTTCATCGTGCAATGGACGGCAAAGACGGAAGTTCGCAACCTTTGGTTCTAGATTTGCCGTTAACTTATTATAATAATAATGATTATTAAGTATTTTGATAACATAAATACACAATTAAGTTGCACTTACGAATATGTTTTCGCATCTTAAATCATAATGGAGAATGTCACTACCATGAAGAAATAAAAGTCCACGACAAATCCCAACGGCCATATTTAACTTAGTTGACCAGCTAATTGAGTATTTTTCATACAATCGTTTCAAATTATCTTTTTCTGCCCATTCGAAAACCATTACAATGCTTTCTAAAGGTTCCCATTCTAACGCTGAAAGTCCGTGAAACTTTAAAAGATATGGACAATTATTTAATTTATTCATAACAATGAGTTGATCTTGAAATTTTTGAGTTTGTGGTGTATCAAATCGTTTACATGCAACTGGAAGTTTTTCTCCCGAGTTTAGCCAATACCTTTTTCTTACATTTCCGCGTTGAGTATTTATCCCGGGATTGACATTCTTAATCAATTCCCGAGGAGGAACTGATTTTGATTTAATTTCATTACCGTTATTTTCATTTACATATGATTTTACTAATATAATTTCCTCAAATAAGGGATTAACTTGTTGTTTAATCATTGTTACTGGAGATCCAATTTTTTCCAGGAACTACAAGATCGGAATAATTCGAATTAATATTTATTAAAATATAAAAGAATAATAAAAAAAAGATAATTCAAATATAATTTAACATACTTTGTTCAAGATATTAATATCATGTTCAACCGCCCTAGTATCTCTTTTACTCTGTAATTCGTTGTCCAAAGAAATCTCCAAAGGCACCTCAGAAATGACTTTATCAAATTCTCTAGAAATTCGTTCAAACCTTTCTTTAATGGTATTCGTCGTTTGAAACTTTCTTAAACTCCAAAGGTACGAAATATCAGTAATAAAATGTTGAGCTTTTTTCACAATTGCAAGAAGCTTCATTAAAGAATTATAATAATCTTGACTAAGAAAATTTGTTTCAATTTTATCTTTACGACGTTTTAAAGCTTTAATAGGTGCTGCAATACAATCAACTCGATCAAGTAAAGCATTACTTATTTGTTTATTAAATTGAGCATATTCATAAGTATTATAAATTCTTCTAATGGCTTCATTAAGTGAGGTAATTAGCGGTGCGTAAGGTTTGACAATTTCACCAATGACAGCAGTTTCACCAAGAAGTTGTTTGGCTTTTTCCAATCTTTGACTATTATCAAGTCCATCATATTCTGCTGCTAATATAGCTCTTTGTTCTTCCATACCATCAATTGCGGCATCGGTTTGAATTGTATCATAAGGTATTTGTGCGTCAACTTGCCCATTCTCTGTCGTAGAAGCATTGAGAAATGGTTGATTTTCTTGTGATATATACATAGATTCACTTTGGGAAGGTTGCCCATTCTCTTCGATTATAGATCCATAAATATTCTTTTGCACATGTTGTTCTACGGAAGTAGGTTTACTTTGAGTATTTTCTCGAAATCCGGACATATAAATTGCTGCAAAAGATTAATTTCGCAAAGGATAATTAATTGTAAATCGAGGATTACATACAGAATGATGGGTTGCTGATCACAACCTTATGAATTACGCCAAATCTATTACTTTTTGATTCAAATCCGAAAATGATTTAGGAAATTAAAAAAAAATTTTTTACTATTGTTTATGATTATCAGCACGTAGAGTAATATTTAAATTATTTCATTATCATTTGGATTTTTAATTTTAATATACATACTCCCTAAATTGCTTTATTAATTTGCTATAATATGAATAAATTGTTGAAGTATATAGATGTATCTGATTTAAAGGTTTAAAACTATTAGCTCTAAAATTTTAAATTATCAAATCTACCATTTGCCTAATAGAATATTATTTATTGTTTGATTCATTTTTGGTGAATCAAAAGCTCTATCAATTATTATTTAAAAGCAATTCTTAGTTTTTGAAGTGATTGAAAACAGCTAAAATGTTATATCTCATTATGTAAGTATTGATAAACTAATATAATATACTTATTATAATTTTCAAATTATATAAGATCTAAAATAAATTATTATTAATTTTGTATTATTAATAACAACTTCAATTTAATCAAATAATAATTTAAAGATTAATAATATAAGAATATATTCAAGACAAATAATATTCTTTAAAATAGTATTTCTATAAGTTGTTTTCATTATATTAGTTATATTTATAATAATTACTAAAAATTTTTGAATAATAATATCTATTTGTTAAATTATTTGATCTAAATTCATTCTCCTATATAAAATTTATTATCTGAAAAAATTAAATAAAAGTTTTAAAATACAAATTATAAAATTATACTGATTTTTATTATATTAGATTAGCTATTAGAAACTAATATAAAAAGGTATTATTTTTAAATAAAACTTTATTTAATAATTCACTAACAATTTTTCCTACTTGAAAACTTAAAAGATGATTAAAAATTAAATATTATTAATATAATTTTTTAAATTGATTTATTTTTTTAAATCTATTTATTTTATAAAAAGAAATAATGTATTAGTTAAAAAATGTTTTATAATATTGTAATACAAGTAATTTGCAAAGATAAAGATCATGTAATATAGCAAAAATAATTTGTAAGAAGTTTGTATAATGTAGAAGATCATTAAGAGTTGATTAAAAATGATCAATTTTAATATTATACAAATTTTAGATAAAATAATTAATAAAGAGAAGTGAGTTTATTAATCAGTAATTAGCATTCTAAGTTCAATTAGTAACAACTAAGTTCCTATTGTAAATTACATTACAATAGCTCTCAGCTGAGATATAAAACTAGATAATTTTCATAAGAATTTTATATATAACTGAATATGTGAGTTTATATACTAATATTCATTTTTAATTGATTGATCAATCTATTGATTGATGTTAATAATGGCTAAATACTAGATTTGAAGAATATGTAGATGCAAATAAAGTTAAGGATCAATAAAAAATTAGTCTTTATTAATAGGTTTGTAATAAATACTATCTTACGTTTTCAAATTCAAAAAACCTTTACACAAGTAAGAAAGTTATTATTCAATAATTAGTAGATTGGATATTACCTACAATTAGTTATAGTGATAATAAATTACATTGCATTACAGTAGCATTATTCTATTAAGCTATTATTAGAGATAAAGATTGTATTCGATTTTTAGGTAAATTTGTTGCTATTGTGAACGGATAAATGTAACACAGCTCATGTAGTGCAAAAGATCGACCGATTTAACATAACTGACATATATGATATGTCAGACATATTTGACATATTTGACATAGTTGACATGGTTGACATGGTTGATATAGTTGATATATTAGACATGTTAGTTATATTTTTCTATGTATTTTATTTTATATAAATAAGTAGCTTTTT